TATTTAACCAATATCCATATCGCATAGAACATAGATGTAAAAGGCAAAAAATCATAAAAAATGTGGGTCCCAAATAAAACAATTTTAAATCATTAAGGACTTAAGCCCTCCCAAAATGTTGACCATAGTTACACCTATGATGTTTATTGAAATAAAAATACATTAGTAAATATTAATTTTCAACTTTTTAATGATTACTTTTAAACGTATTATACTTGTCAACTTACAAACATATAAATAACTTACGAAATATATACTAAGCCACTAAGGTATACAAATGTACAAATGTACAAAGGTTCTGTAATTGTATGTACTAAATTTAATATAAAATAATTCATTTAAACATTAGAAATTTAAGCAATAAAAAACAAAATTAATATAGAATATTTAAAATTTTTTTCTTGATTTTTTGGACGCAAATAACTCTATGACGTCCATAAAATTCAATGTATTTGCTGTTTCATTTTCAATTGCAATAGTAGCCAATTCAGTCAATCGTTTTTGAGAAATTGTGTTTCTTAGGTAATTTTTGATTATTTTGAGCTTTGAGAAACTCCTTTCTGCTGACGCTGAGGTGATTGGTATGGTTAACAAAATTCGGAGTGAAATTACTGTTAGGAAAAGCTGTAAAAGCACCAGGAATTGTTTTTAAAAACTGAGTGCTTCCAGTGGCGTCCGCAGGGGGAGGGGGGGGGCTAACGGGCTGAAGCCCCCCCATTGCCCGTATTATTATTACTTTTAAAAAAATATATTAATCAAGTTTAAACTGTCAACTATAGTAAGCAAGACGTAAATTTCATATATGACTTACCAGAATGAATTAATTTTTGAAAAAACATTGTATTTGCATACCAATTTTCATAAATTATCTGTAATTTTTTGGTAAAAGAATGAACTACTTGTACGAAAGACCTTGCATTAAATTGTCTAGCCTTAGCTGTACATATTTTATATTTTATAAGTTTTGAACTACAAATTAACTGTGGTTAAATTGTTTTGAACTTTAAATGCATATGTATCGTTAATATTTTAGCTATAATAAAAAAACTTACGTATTACATTTTTAAGCTTTTTGACCGGATAAATAATTTTTTATTGACATTTATAAAAAAAAAATTTAATTAATCAAATACAATCCAAGTGAGGACGGTATAACCAAGCAGGGGCGTATATAGGATTTTCTTGAGGAGGGGGATATCAAAATTTGTTTAGTGCTGTTGCAACTTTTTGTTAGTTACTCCAAGGTATATAATAATAATAAATGTTGTGTAATGTCACTCACATGCCCACAGGATAACAAAATTATAAATAACAACAGTACTGCAGCAGTTTGTACTTTATACATGGAAAAAAATGGGTAAGGGAGGGGATCTATCCCTCATATCCCCGCCCATAAATACGTCACTGTTAAACCAAGCTACTGTTACCAAACAATTTAAATAAGTTTTCATTTTTTTTTCTCCTATTAGGTACTTTTAAAAGCACTGAGCAGATTCAATTTCGACCTCCTAAAAGTACCATCAAAACTTATGATAAGAGCATATTTTCTACTAGAAAAGTTGAAAAGTTACTAACATTTTAAAATACCTCAAATAAACGTCTGAAATTATTAGACTGGACAAAATAAAAATAAATTTGTAACTAATTTTCAAGCCCCTCCCCCATTGAAAAATCCTGCGGACGCCACTGAGTGTTTCTATTGGCGTAGAATCTTCTTTCATTGTATGACGAAAAACTAGTAACTCTTCATACAATTCAGAAGCAACTATATCATATAATTCTCCGTCACTTAGATAATTTTGTAAATCTAAGCAACTCTTCATAAGGTCGTCATTAGTTATTTTTTGGAGCTCACCAATATTGTATAGAAAACTGAAATTGTCGCTATACATTTTAAATTGATTAAATCGTTCACTAAATGATTTGACAGCAGCTCGCAATATCGGGTAATGATAGATTAAATTTAATAATGCGATTAACTGTTTAGGAATCCGGGGTTTCCATACCGTTCGACGTGCCATACCGATCGACGTTGACGCATAAATATTTAATATTATAATATTATATTGTTGTTTTGTTTTAGTACAAGATTTTCATATAAAATATTTTCCTATGTAAATTTCGAGCGCGAGGCCCTTGAATGCGCGAGGCCCTGGACAAATGTCCCGCTTTGCCCCCCCCTAACGCCGGCCCTGATTAACTTTAATTAACTTCAATTAATAAGTTAAGTTAATAATAATAATAAAAAATGCATATATGAGGCATTTTTTATTAAAATAAGTTCACTTGAATAGTAATCATCATTCATAGGTATATTACTTTTCAAACAATCTATGAAAATCATTATAGTACTAATAAAAATAATAAATAACTAATGAGTAATGATTTATGAATATAATTCGTGGCATCGTGTGCTTATTGATGTCTTCATACGGGTGACTAATTTGATTTAGTTATGTTATTACTAATGTATTTGTATTTATAAATTATTTATTATTATTTATAATTACAGTGGCGGCTAGTGGTAGTTTCATATGGTAGTGCGATAAATTTTTTTCTGAAGTGGTAGTTAGTAGCCCCATCCATACCGATCTCAGATGAATACTAAATCTATGATTGACCTCACCTAGTCACCTGTACAATTTGACTTCAATGCCACTGAGGCAGTGACCAACAATAATATTTATATTCATAAAATTATATATTTATTTACCTGTAATAGCTGTATCGATACGCGACATACAAACAACAGCACATTTTAAAGGCCAAATTGTAAATAAAATACAGATATATATATCAATATTATGTGAATAATATCCCTAATATCACTGATATGGATAACAAGTACCTACTTCACAATCATTGCTATTGGTCGGTATTTCTTTAGCTATAATTAGACGTAAATATCGAACTCTGCGCGCTGTAAATACAAAATCGCAGGTCGCCGCCGTAAATGTACGACGAGAATTATCGCACCAAAATAATATTATAGTCCCACCGCTGCCGTGTGCCGCCGCCGCGCCGTTGCGGTACATCTCAATATAATCATAATTTGATAATATAACCCGTATAACACACATATTTTTAATTCAAAATAGAAAAATAACAACAGTAACATTATATAAGTATAATAAAACCAGCTTCCAAAATATATAAATAACAGGTTTAACTACTTATGGCAGTGGTGGCTCGTGGGTTTTTAATGAGGTAGCGCACAATGTACATCCAAAAAAAATATAGCCAATATAATATATATATATTATATATTATAAATTGTATTAAATAATTATTTACAAATTTTAGTTATTCACATTTCACCTATTAGCTTTTATTTTGTTTAGATTTTTAAACAGATTTTTAAACAAGATTGTTGTTTTGAATTTTCGATAATGATCGACTAACATTATTATTTATCTGATAATCGGAAATATAATAAACGAATGAGAGTATTAATTAATTATAATGCCTATGCCGAGGCGCAACAAAAATAGTGGCAAGAGTACGTATAGACGTATAGTCAATTCGCCAACCGAATGTAATTTAAGTTAAAGAGCACTTATATTACTATACTTATATTCTAAATACAGCTCTTAAGAAAATCCTTACATCCGTGGTAAGAGTACAAAATAAATAGTCAATTCGCCAACCGGATGTAATTTAAGTTAAAGAGCACTTATTATTATATTCGTGTTCCACAACATAAATGTGTAGTAGTGATGTAACAGGCCTATAATATTATGATAGTCACAGAAATTTATGTTTTTAAGAGATCAATGGATAGATGAGTGGAAAAGATGAACAATGTCAATTTGGCTGATAGAGAGACAACCAATTTAGACAGACATACCGAATGCTGAAATGATCCAATATACATATATTGTATACGCATATACACACAGTAATGAGCACTCCTTTGGACAGTAATGGAAGAGAGTCGTGATGTTGACTGGCGTGAACGTTGTGCATGAGTCTTCTCCTGAAAGGTACTGTCGGCGAGTCGATTCTCTGTGGTCCTTATATAATATGATTTTGGTTGATCCCTTCTTCTTGTACCTCGATTAATACGTGATATTAAAGTATTGATATATTTTCTTATTTCGTGTGGTGCGACAAAGGTACAGCTGGTAATTTATGGTTTTGTTCTGATCAAACGTCTTGATCGGAGAATTATCGAAGGGTTCTTGAAGTATATATAATATATATATATGTATATGTACACATGTGATGTACGTATATATATATATGAAAGAATGTGTTCATGATTTTATGATATACGGTGTTTACTGGCGCTGTTGATATTTGATTGTGTTGTCTCCACTAACTGTCTGATCGAAGAGTTGTTGAATATTATTTATGTGTTGCATATGCTGCGTGTATGTAAAAGGAGTGCGTATAATGTATATATGTACCTAATGCGTATGTATATATGCATATCGTATCACCCACATTCCATAATATGGTCCGTTGTTATTTTTGTCTCGTGTTTTATTCCGAGTCTAAATATTATATATTACAGATTTATGTTTTTAATTTTTCTTGAGCTTGGGTAGGTAGTGCACGTGCACTTGTGAACATATACACGAGCCGCCACTGACTTATGGGGAACTAGAACACATCATACAAATTTCTAGTTCCATAAGTATCCACAAAGACTGCACTAGTAATGATAAAAGGAAAATATCCCCCCGAACTCCGCCTGTTTTATAACATTTCGTGGTCAACCCCCCACACCCTCCAACCTTGTCGTGTCCAGTCCTGTATATCTTAGTCCATGTTTTTAAGTAATGTGGTTTGAGGGGAGGTTGATGTGAGTTTTAAATTATTTTAGGATTTTATTGTACTAGGTACTTATACTTTATAGGTATGTATAATATCAATATGTCACACTGTTGCGTTTAGATACGGAACGGATTCATAGAAAAACATTTACGAGAATTGCCAATGATTGTGGTAAAGTATTTCCTGATGATTTGCGTTTACAAATTCTCGGAAAACAAGAAATGGACGTCGCTAATTTGATTATCAACACATTGCAACTGAATTTAACACCCGAAGAATTATTACAAAAAGCTCGTATCGAGGAAGAAAAATCACTAAAAAATTTAAAACTTATGTATGGTGAGTATAAAACTACTCTTACAGCATCAAACCATTAAAATATGTTTAGATGATTGATATTATTATAAATATAAATTGAGTATTTCACAAACCATATTACACACAACACATATTCAACGGGTTTTTGCCCATATACAAAATATAGCGTTTAATAATAATTAATATTATACTGTTCTGCCGCCATGCTAGGTGGCATAAACAATCATTAATAATTTAATGTTTCGATAGTGAGTTAACGGAAAGGGCGGCTCCTTAGACATTGTTAAGGGGGGGGGGTGAAGTCACAATTTTCTGGCAATTTCGATGATATTTTTTTGTAATTTTCTTTTTAACAGTATAAAATTGTTTAGAAGTACAGCTTGGGTTATTGCTGGCTTAATGATCGCTTCAACATGATTTAGTGGCCTATGATTGGTCCATTAAATTTTTGTGAACCAATAAATTAATCAATATTTGTATTCAACTTTGCAATAGACAAAGTATGTCAATAGTAGTTTATTATAAAGTTTTACAAAAACTTTGATTCGAACTTCGAAATTTAACTAATAACTATTGTTAATATTGAAAATTACTATAGTACATATTAATTATTATATATGGTAAGGTAAAAATAAAATAAAGATAAGTCAAAACATCGTTTTAAAGTGTCTTAATGTTTATAAAAACTGACAAGTGGTTTTATTTAAAACATTTTATGCATAAACTTTTAAAATGTTCAAAATAATAATATTTATTATTATTATTATTAGTATTATTATTATTTTGAACACTTTTAAATTTTGTTAGTTGTTATAAATATTAAGACACTTTAAAACGATGTTTTGACTTATGTTTATTTTATTTTTACCTCACCATATATAATAATATATTATAGGTACTATATTAATTTTCAATTAACAATATACTTGAAAAAATTATTGCCGATTGACTATTTACTATTACTATTATACTATAGTTTAATTTAATTTAGAATAATTCCTTTATTAATAGTCATAAATCTCATTATTATTATATGGGTATTATATAGGTTATAGGTCTAACTTTTTACTGACAGTTCAAACTTCAAAGTTAAAATGTTTTATTATTTGTATATTACCTAGAAATTATTGAAGTATAGACTAAGTTTATCTTACCGATAGAATTTTATAACAGCGGAGACCAATTGATTGAAATCCAGACAATTTTATTGGTTTCCAAACCAGAGGTTTCTTTTAATATAGATATAATTAGGTACACAGTTTTTTTTAACTAGTGGAAAGTGAATAAAATTAAGTGGCGTTGAGTTCATATATGCGTATGTGCAGAGTGTATGAGTGTTTATTTAATTATACTGTATATTATACATTTATACATTATATTTTTAATCAGTGGTGTTATTACGGTTGGAGAAAACGGTCTTGGGGGTCAGGACCCTTCTCCAGGATCCGAATAAATTAACGAAAAAATTGAATAGATTAAGTATAGTCATGCAAGTAAAAAACAAATATTTTTTTGTTAATGTAAGTTAATTAATATTTATTTAAAATTATTTTTATGTTCTACCTATTTTATAATATTATATTATTATAAGATAAGATGGACCATAAAAACAATTAATAAAAACTGCATCCGTTTGTATAATTAGTCTATATTACAGTATAAAATCATAACCGTGGGAGGGGTCCAGGGGTCCAACCCCTCCAACATTTTTTAAAAATAAAAATATTTTAGTGGTGTGTATTGTTTATTGACTATTGTATCATACCAAAAACACTTTCAGAATCATTTTATATTTTCGTTAAAGCTGAAGTAATAACGAGAATAAATTCAACAAAGAGTTTTTATATTTTTGAACGTAAAAAATATGGGTAGATACCTATACTCATGCCGGCGACCAAAATTCGTCCGATCTCGCACATTCCCACCACTAAACCTTCCCGAAAGCTGGCCGCCGTCAACTCTGGCCGCGGCCACCGTTTCTGCCACTTCCACCACCGTAGCGAGTGGGGGAATTTACGGCGGCGAATAGAGTGGGAGAAATTTGGGTACGAAATCACGGAGCTCCGTCATTCGGATGCGCGGACGAGAAGTCGGAGAAGCGCTCTCTCGCCGGCACGAGTATACCTGCTATTATTTTTAATGAAAAAAATATTTGATTACACACATAATAATTTGTTTTAAACTTTATTCAATGTTAAATTGTAACGTAAGAATCATATATTTTAAGGGCATAATACAGTATGATAATATTATATAGGTAATATTTCTTTAGGAGTCGAAGATCTTTTGGAGCATTTCCATCTGCACAATATACCTATGGCGGTGACAACGAGTAGTTCGGAGGAGAGTTTCCACATGAAAACAGATCATCTGAAAGACATATTCTCTGTATTTCATCATGTGGTGACCGGTTCTTCCGACCCGGAAGTAATAAATGGCAAACCAGCACCAGACATCTTCAAAATATGTGCTGGTAGGTTTCCTGGGAACCCCGTGTACAGCAAGGTAATTATAATCACATCGCGAAGTTTTTTAGTTTATCTCATCCAAAGCTACAAGTGAAATAAGTTCAAGTTAGGTAACAGCGACGTGGTTTTGCACCTCACTTTAATTGCATAAATATTCTACTGCTTTTCTATGAAGAAGATAGTTTTTTAATATATTGAGAAATTAATAAGAGATTAAAATTTGGATTCAAAATAGTGTTTTGATGATTTTTTGGTTGAAAACTATTGAATAGCTGTAAACAAATTCCCTTGACAGAATTCAGTTATTTAAATTTATCATAATATGACAGAACATTGAAGTTTTTTTAAATTTTTTTATGATTTGTTAATGAGTTAATACATACAATAACTATTTATATCTAAGTTGATTGTTAAAATACTATTTAATACTCATTGTGATAATTTACTCATGCCACTTCAAAATTCTAGATTAACTACATTTTAGATTCTGAGTGGAACGATGAATGTATTGATTTTACAATGATGTGTTTTTTTTTTCATTTATTTTTTTTATTTGTGTCTGTGTACACGATAAGTAGTCGAAATAATGCTTCGATTTTAAACTTCAGTATCTTGTTCGATTGAAAAGTGAATATCGTTGATGCATTGGGAGGTCAAAATTTAAAATTCCTAGTAATATTCAAAAGCGCCGTGAAAAACAAAAGAAAAATTAAGGAAAAACTTGAATTTTTACCCAAAATCAATTTTGGTTTTTGGTGTAACTTTAAAACAAATAACTGTAGATACATGAAATTTTCACTGGTTGTTTATATTTGTATTTTCTATACATGATAACATTTTCAAAATATTTTGAACTGTTTAGGGACTTTTCATTTTCCATTTTTTTTTAGTTATTTTTCTAAAAATATCAATAAAATTTTATTTGTTGGTTAATAAAGCTTGAAAACTTAATAGAAGGCTCCTAGTAGGTATATTGTTATTTGTTTCAAAGACAGATGAAAAATATTAAAAATCTTTAGTCACAGTTTTTTTTTACAAGCATTTAAAGTTCAAAAATTGACAAAATATGGAAAAATCACGGAAATTATCAAATTATTTTGAGTTAAGAATTCGTAAAAATTTTTCTTTTTAAATCTAGGATTTTAAAATGTAATACAAGATTTCTTATAAGATTATCTACCTCTATCAAAAAAAAAAATGTCTAAGAAAGTCAAATTAAATTTTTATGAGCGTTTGAAATTCCAATTTCACAACATTGGATATTCACTCGATTTCTCATGTAGCGATTTCCTTATTTTGTTGTAATTGAAAAACGAATAACTGTAGATTCATGAAAATTTTACTGAATGCTTATATTCGCATTTCCTATACACCATACACTTTTGACTCTTTTTGAGATATTTACGGACATTTTCAGTTTTCAATTTTTTAATTTTTTTTTTCTATAAATATCAATAAAGTTTTATCTGTTGGCCCAAAAAGTGTAAAAATTTAATATAAGGCTCCTGATATATTGTTACAATAGATTTGAATATGTAATATGAGATTACTTATAAGTTAATCTACCCTTATCAAAAAAAAAAATGTCTAAACGCAGTCAAAATAAATTTTAATGAGCTTTTGAAGTTCATAATCTTACAATATTGAATATATTCACCCGATTTCTCATGTAGCGGTTTGGTTATTTTATTGTTAATCAAAAACGAATTACTGTAGATACATGAAAATTGTACTGAATATTTATATATTCATTTTCTATACACCATCAAAATTTGAAAATGTTTTGACTCTTTTTGAACTGTTTACGGACATGGTCAGTTTTCAATTTTCAATTTTTTTTTTTCTATAAATATCAATAAAATTTTATTTGTTGTGTAAAAAAGCGTGAAAATTGAATACAAGGCTCCTACTATATTGTAAAAATAGTAGTTGAAAAATATTAAAAATACATATTATAGCACAATTTTTTTTTACAAGCATTTAAAGTTTGAATTTCGACAAAATGTATCAAATTTAAAATTTAATAATTATTTAGTAGTTAAAAATTTATAAAATATTCAACGTTTATAGCTAAGGATTGAAAAATCAAAACAAGGGTCCACGTAAATAGGTAAATATATAAATTACTTTATTTACAATAATATCATCAAAATATACCGTGTGTCCCAAAAATCAGGGGCCACTTTACTACTCATTACCATGTAAATATTTTTCAATTCTGTTTGCAGGACATTAAACTAGACTAATGGATCGTAAATTTCTTTGACTCACAATGTCTTTAACTCATGTATCTTGCGCATGCGCAATAAAACTTACATTTTTTTAAATGGCAACCCGTAATTTTAATATCATATTCGGGTTTATCGATTTTTTTCAAGCCATTTTGATGTATCAACTTATGTCCTAAACCCAAAATTGACTAAACTAGAGCTAAGTAGAATTTAAATAATTTAAAAATTCAATTTAATTAATTTTTTTTTCAAAATAAACAACCAATCACGGGCGAAGCTGTGACGGATCGGGTGGTAAATTATAATCAGGAAATAAATTAGAAAATTAAAAAGAATATTAGAATATTAGATAATATATACTAATAAGTATAATAAACGGTAATTAAACGTTATAGGTAACGTTAAAAATACATATGCATAATTTTTTTTTAAAAGCATTTTGAGTTCGAATTTTCGACAAAATTTATCATATTATTTTAAGTTTAATAATTATTTTGTAGTTAAAAATTTATAAAATGTTCAACTTTCATAGCTAAGAATTGAAAATTTAAAACAAGGGTCCACGTAAATAGATAAATATATAAATTACTTATTCACAATAATATCATTAAATATACTTAGTAAAATCATAGGCTGACTGACCGTTTTGCTCAGAATCCTTTTTCTTATACAATGATATTACATCATTGAATTCAAATTTGACACCATCCATTACAGTGACTTACTTGTAACCTACTTTACAGTAGAGCGACTTTATTTTTTCTCACACATTGGAACTGATTTAGGTTAATCGTTTGATAATAAATTAGCCAATATGGAAAATGATCACCATTCACCCTATATAATAGATATATAATAAAGTAATAAACATGCATATTATATAATAAAATATAATATATATTTTTATAGTTCTTGGTGTTCGATGAATCGCCGAGTGGAGTAACTGCGGCTTTAGCGGCCGGAATGCAAGTGGTCATGATACCCGATCCCATTTTGTCAATCTGGCATAACATGTCGACCGCCAACGCTACGTATGTGTTAAACTCCATGGAAGATTTTCGTCCTGAAATGTTTTCACTACCTCCATATTTTACTGGTTCATAATTTTTTTAAGTTTGAGTTTACATCTTCGAAATTATTACCTTCATCGAATGATTGAATATATGCATTAAATTTATTATTTACGTACAAATAAAAATATTTAACTATTTTCCCAGATTCTTTTATTCAATTGGTGTAAATAAATACATTTGTGTTGATATACAAAAACTTCACTTAAAAGTTAAAATATTTAATTATCATAAAAAAATATCATAAATATGCAAAATGTGTATATCAAAGGTGTCCTGACGACGGTCGATGGACGACTACTAGTTGGTTTCAAATTATCGAAAGGGTTCCTGGGTTGTCTATAGGTAACATATGTAGTTATGTTCGTATTCGTTTTCACGCAATCGCCGAAAACTATGTTAAGCTTAGCGCTGGTACTGCATGGCTGACGAACTGCTTGGTGAAGTAAATAATAATGTAGCTCATATGGCTTTGTTGAACACCACGTTTTTATTCGTTTTAAAATTAAACACCACTAGTCATATTAGAATTTTGGTATAGAAAAATTCTTGTCAAGCTGAATTTAGGCATACACTTTTATAACGCCGCTTCACGCGTCGTCATGAAGAATGGGTAAAACGCATTTGTGTGTATGATACATATTTATTAGATGCCAATAAGGTCCAGAAAATAACCATTTTTGAATAACGTGCATTTTAATGGATGTACGATAAAAAGTTTCATACAATAAATAAAGAGGAGGCAGTTATCTACAAGAAAATATCTTGATATAATGATATATCATATATATAATATAATATATCTAAACTCAATTCCAGAATACGAATTTTAATATTAAAAAAATATAAAGTGTATAATTTAACATAGTAAGAATGCATTCATTTTCACACCACCATTGAGGTAGAAGCAGGGCGCGTTTTTTTTAAAATGGTTTCCCCGGTAGGCCTAGTCCATTTAATTGTTAATTTTCATCGTCAAAATAATGTTTTAATGTCAATAACTAAGGTTAATAAATAAACATACACATTTTTTTTTCATTAATACATGCACATTCTTAACACATAACTAATTATGGTTGCTTCACCTTGAAAATAAACATTAATACAATAGGTACAATACAATGCAATACAATGCGATACAATAAATAATAAAGTCAGTCAATTGGAGCGGCTGCCACTGCATTCGCTCTTCGTTCGGTCTCGGCTATCCTTTCATCATGCTCCTTGCAGCTTAAAATGTTGTCAACCATGTCAACATACACATTTTAGTAGATATCCTATTGCAAAAAATGTCAGAGCAAAAATTTAAAAAAATCAACAAAAACAGTAAAAGATAATAATAAAAAAAATATAAATGAGTAATACATAAAAAAAATCAATTAGAACAGCACTAATAATTAAAAATAATAAATGATCATGATGTGCAAGAACAGTGCCTACTAAGCAAGTAGTTTGGCTGTCTTTATTGTACCCGGGGTCCTAACCTTTAGGTTTGAAAGATTGTGGCCGTCTCGTCCGGCGTATTGCACAAGTTCTATTCACAAAATTTTACATTTTTATGCGTGTGTGCATGCATCATCTTTGGCAACGGTGGCTTCCGACTTGTCGAGGTTCCAGACCAAAATTATCTAAATTATCTTAAATAAACAGTTATTATTAATAAAAATAAACATGTACATTGTATACCTATTTATTATACATATTTTCCAGCTACCTGTACCTGACCTTTTTTCTTGTGTGTGTGTTTTATTGGCGTAAATTTGTGTTTTAAATGTTCAACATATAAAACAAAATAAAATTAATAAATATAAAAATGTTTAGTTTGTTATGATGTATGTTATGTTATGTTATGTTATGTTTCAAATTTATTTCCTTTACCTTTAAATATTTTAATTTTGAAACTTATTTTGTATTTAATTTATCAATTAAATTTTTATAAAAAAAATAGCGTTGAACAGCTGTGCAAGCACACTCGCCCACTTAGCGAGGATTGTGGCTGTCTTCAATGTACCCGGGGTCCTAACATTAAGGGTCAAAATATTGTGGCCGTCTCGACCGGCGTTTGTACCTGTTCTATTCACAAAATTGGTCATGGGTTTGTGCGTATAGCAGCACCTCGCATGCATTAACTTTGGTGACAGCTGCCATTGACTTAGCAAGTGTCAAACCCGAAGTTATCTATTAGCAGTGGCTCTGGAGGTGGTAGCGCTTAATTGCGAATCAAATGTCAAAGACTGACAAAAAATCAAATAGGTACCTAGTTATAATTAATAATTATGAAAATTTTTAAACGTTAAATATATAAAATAAAATAAAATAAAATAAATAAATATAAACATGTTTAGTTTGTTATGTTGTATGTTAGGTTAGTATTAGGGTTTTACATTTATTTGCCATTTCTTGAAAGTTATCAATTAGCAGAGGCTTTAGAGGTGGCAGCACCGGATGTGCGACTCAAATGACAACGACTATTATTGGTGGTGACGTTATAGAGATACGCTGCCATTATCGGGTTCGCGTGTTTGCGTAGAAGAACCTCGCATGTATCAACATTGGGGACGGCTGCCTCCGACTTGTCCAATCCTGGTGTAAAATTTCAGTACAAAATACTTAAATAATTCAATGTTTATAAGATTCATAAATAATAATAAACAATACAGTACTTAAAAAAAATAAGAAAAATATTAAAAAAAATCAAAAAAAAAAATATTTATAATTACAAATTATGAAAAATAATAAATGTTCAACAAATAAAATTAAATTAAAAAAATTAAAAAATTAGTTTGTTATGGTGAATGTTATGTTAATTTCTGAAAATCATTCTTATATTCCTTTACCTTTAAATATTTTAATTTTAAAACTTATTTGTATTTAATATTTAAATTAAGTTTTTATAAATAAATTAGCAGAGCGCAACTGTTTTGTGGCAGTCCTGTCTACAATGTACCCATTAATCATACTTTGGGGGCTTTTTGTGGCTGTCTCGTCAGTCTCTGTTCATGTTCTATTCACAAAATTTTACATGGTTATGTATATGTGCATAGAAACACCTACTTTGGAGACGGTTGCCCCTGAATGTCAAGTTGGACACCCGAAGTTATCTATTAGCAGAGTTTCTGGAGGTTTCGGATCAAACGACAACGACTGGTATGCTTGTAACATAACTTAGATACTCTGCTATTATCAAGTTTTGTGAAAATTCTGTATAATATACTTAAATAATTCAAATGTGATTAATTATGGTGCATAAATAATTATAAATATTTCGGTAATGGGGATGTATCAAGAAGTTACTTTCAGAATATTTTAATTTTGATACTTCTTTGCATTTAATTTATGAATTAAGATTTTCTAAAAAAATTAGTAGAGTGGAACTGTGCTGTGACTTTCCTTTCTACAATTATTTACCTGTCATTCCTACGTTGTGGGTCGAATAATTGTGGCTGTCTCGTCCGGCTTTGTTCAAGTTCTATTCCAAAATTATAATCACGTATGAATAAATATTTAAAAATATCAATAAAAACCGTAGTTCTAATTAATAATAATGTAAATAAATAAATTATCAACACATAAAAATAAAATAAAATAAAATAAATTAGTAGTATAACTTTAAATGTTATGCTGTATGTTAGGTTAGAATCAGCAATATTTTTTTCAAAGGTTAGGTTAGGTATAATTAGCAGAGTGCAGCTGTGCTGTGGCTAACCTGTCTACCTACCTAACTGTCAATCCTAATTTTGGGGTCGAAAGATTGTGGCCGTCTTGTCCCTCTTTTTTTATGTTCTATTTACTACAATTTACATGTTGATGCGTGTGTCCGTAGATGCACCTCGCATGCATCACCTTCTTCCATCGACTTGTGAACTGACCAACCCGAAGATATCGACTAGCAGAGGCTTCAGAGGTGGTGCCACCGGATGGCAGATCAAGCGACAACGTTTGTTATCACTGCTGACGTCTTGGGTTTTGTGTAAGTTCAGTATAAAATACTTGAATAATTAAATTTGATTAATTAAGGTTTATAAATAATAAAAAATATTTAAGTTTGTAGAATTTATCATGGAGTAAGAAAAAATATTTAAAAAAATCAATAAAACCGTAATTATGATTAATAATAATGAAAATTAATGAATGATCAACACATAAAATTAAATAAAATAAAATAAATATATATTAAAATTTTAAAAGTTATGTTATTGTATCTGGTTGGTATCAGCAACAAATTTGGCGACGTCGGCTTCATAGTTGTCAAGAGTCCAGCTTGAATTTATCTCTTATCAGTGGCTCTGAAGGTGGCGTAACACGGGATATCGAATCAAATCACAACGAGTGTTATCCCTGGTGATGTTACAGAGATACATTGTAGTTCTCGGGTCTTATGCTAGTTCAGTATATAATACTTAAATATATCAAAGTGATGAATAAAGGTTGATAAACAAGAAGAAATATTTAAAAAATGAAACTTTATCAAGAAGTATGCATAAAAATTTAAAAAAATCAATAAAAAACGTATGTCTAATTAAATATAATGAAAATTAATAAATGATCAACACATAAAAATAAAAATAAAATATTAAAATTAGAATTGTTATGTTGTATGTTAGGACAGTATCAGTATTTGAAATTTATTTCAAATTACTTAAAGAATATTTTAATTTTGAAACTTCTTTGCATTTAATTTATAAATAACGTTATTATAAAAAAATTAGTAGAGGGCAACTTAGCTAAATCTCTTCTGCCTAGAAGGTACCCTGTATCATTACTTTGAGGTTAAAATATTGTGGCTGTCTCGTCCGCTTTGTTCGTGTTCCACTAACCAAATTTTACATGGTTACGTGAATTTTCGTAGAAGTGCCTCGCGCGAATCAACTTTGGCGACGGTGACCCCATAATTGTCAAGAGTCCAGATCGTAGTTATCTATTAGCAGAGGCTCTGGAGGTGGCGTATCACGGGATGGCGATTGAAATGACAGCAACTGGTATCCATGGTGACGTTAAAGAGGTACATTGCAGTTCTCTTGTGTTGGACAAGTT